CTGGGTGGCATTTGCCATGTGCGAGCAGGGGGGTGAGCAGGGCTTGGCCCTGCCATGCTCTTGATGGCTGAAACTGGAAGCTGGGGCCACCACCCAGGTGGTGGTGTCTGTGTGCCTTGTCTGCTCCTCTACCCGTGCTGTGGGAATACAATTATTTATAGACTTGGTTTGGCTATGAAAGTCTTCCTGCAAATGAGAGAGTCCTTCCTTGGGTTCCTGTGGCACTGAGGGGTCCAGCTCAGAGCCATGGTAGATACCTGCTTTGCAAGCTGCACTTTGTGTGTCAGGGCCTCACTGCTGCATGAAGGTTTGGGAGGAGACACGCCTCTCTTCTGACTCTAAAACCATGGCAATTAAGCAGCAGCTGGCTTCTGGCCACCTGTGGTTGTGGGCTAGTGAAGTGTTGCTTGGTTGCAAAAAGAGTTTGAAGTGATGCAAACTAAACTGATGCAGGGGATCAACTCTCAAAAGCAGCTTTAATAAAATACGTAGTGATTCAGAAAAACAAAGATCCTACACCACTGAAAGTTTCTGGGAGCAGGTTAAGTCAAAGTGCTTGTAAGGGAAAGATGCTACTTGAAGCTATGACCATATTCTGGGATTTTATATCTAAAAATACATAAAGTTACACCACTATTGCTATTTCACCACAGCCTCTCCCAGTGGAGACGGGCCGAAGGGAGAACAGGAAGAGAATCTCTCCAGCCCGCGCTCCCCAAGCAGTATTTTACAGCAGATTCTTGGGGAACACGATCCCCTGGCAGAAAAAAAAATATATTACATAAAGTATTTTCACGTGTTAAGTTTTGCATTTTGAAGGTAGGACAGAATATCCCATTGCAAAAAAAACCCCAAGGCAAGGCAAGGTGCAGGCAGCGGTCCCCGCTCAGCTGCGGAGCGTGGCCAGGCGCGACTGCATGGCCTCCAGGTCGTCCTCCTCCGCCGCCGCCGCCGCCCCCTCGGGCTCCGGCTCCGGCAGCGCGTCCGTCACTTTGCTGGGAGCTTTGCCCAAGGCCCCTGCGAACACAAACGGCCCGTCAGCGAACACCAACGGCTCATCCGCCTGCCTCGGGGCTTCGCTTCAGGGCTCCTCTGAAATTCGACCCACCCTTTCTGGCCGCTGGCTCTGATGGGAGCCAGGGAGGAGGCTGCTGCTCTCCCTGCAGCCCAGCAGGAGGGGAGCTGCTCCCAGCTGGGAACCGGGATGGAAAAAAGAAAGCCGGCTTCGAGATGCAAAAAAAAAAAGGGAAAAAACCACATAGGGTGAGCGGCTGGGCCCAGGGTCAAGTCAGAGCAGGGGCTGGGGAGCAGGCAGTTGGTGTGCTACAGCTGTACCCACATCTGTCACACACGTCACAGGAAAGCCAGGTTAGGAGCACTCCAAAGCATTATCCAAGTCAAATAGCTGAAACAGTTGCTTATTACTTCATGAGTGATGAGGCAGAAGCTGGGGTTTGGGTGTTTTGTGGGGGTTTTTAACCCCCAACAACTGGAGACAGCAGGAGCATTTCACATTCAGGAAGGACTACACAGCCCAAGACCCATGGGACTGCAGCTGAGTTTGTTTCTGGGCTCCACTAACGGCAGTGTCCATAGGCAACCCCACAGATTCCACCTGGGCAAGAGGCCGCGGGGTACAGCCCAACTCTGCTGTGCCCAAGCCTCCACTAGAGCTGCGCAGCCACCGCCTGACGTGTATGAATCGCCCTTGACTGAACCCCACCGGCCCTCTCCACCAGTATACCCCCAGAAACCAGTTTGTCAGAGCTCTCCCTGCCCATTAGCAGCGGGGAAGAGCCCTCGGGCAGAGCGCAGCCAGGTGGGAGCAGAGGGGGTGTGAGCTGCTGCATCCCCCTGAGCAAACACCAGCATCCCCCTGAGCAAACACCAGCTCACCAGAGGGGGCTGTGAGCTGCTGCATCCCCCTGAGCAAACACCAACTCACCAGAGGGGGCTGTGAGCTGCTGCATCCCCCTGAGCAAACACCAGCTCACCAGAGGGGGCTGTGAGCTGCTGCATCCCCCTGAGCAAACACCAGCTCACCAGAGGGGGCTGTGAGCTGCTGCACCCCCCTGAGCAAACACCAGCTCACCAGAGGGGGCTGTGAGCTGCTGCGTCCCCCTGAGCAAACACCAACTCACCAGAGGGGGCTGTGTGCTGCTGCGTCCCCCTGAGCAAACACCAGCTCACCAGAGGGGGCTTTGAGCTGCTGCATCCCCCTGAGCAAACACCAGCTCACCAGAGGGGGCTGTGAGATGCTGCATCCCCCTGAGCAAACACCAACTCACCGGCTGTAATTTCAAACAGGATTTTGTCGATCTCCATCTCGGCTTCCTCCTCCATCTCTTCCTGATCCTCCAGGCTTTCAAAGGTGTCCTCCAGCATTTCCTCTATAATACCAGCCTAGCAGAAAACACAATGGCAGCACGTGATGCCCTTGGGAACAGCAGCTAAGAGGGAACAATTCCTACTCTGGAGATCAGGATACGCCCATCCAGGCATTTAACAACTGCTCCAGCTTTCCGGGCAGATTGAGGCTCTCCTCTTGCATGAGGGTTGGCCAACACACCTGCCTATGGCTCAAACACGCATCTGTACAACTGGTTCACAGAAAAAGCAATATGAAAACAGAATTAAATACACGCGTCCTCCATCTGAAACCCTCAGGCTGCTACTCCTCATTGTTACAAGTCTGAACACCACCAACCCAGCTTGCTCCTACCACAAGCTTATGCTGTGAAGTGTAAGTTGTGTAACATGCTGTAAAATTAGTGTTTGACACAGGTTCCCTTTTTTCTGTCTGCGTTTGAAAACCTTCCTCTGCAGGGCCTGCAGTCTAGATGCAGCCGCATTGTGCTGCTGCACAATGGTGAAATTACCAAGGAATGATTTGAACTAAATCTAGAGTGGCAAGAGGGGAAAAAGCAGAACAGCTGGGTAGCTGAAAAGACACTAGCCACCCCAGGGAAGGGGTGTCCCTCAGCATGAGCACGCTTCTGTCCCACAGAGACACGAAGTGAGAGGTTTTAAACCCAGGATGAGACCAAGCCACCTTGCCCAAGATGGGGCTTTCAGCCTCCCACTACAGAACAGGCCGTGGTGGGTCACCCAAGTCTTCCTTACATTACAGACCTTACCTTCATCATCTCTTTGGACAACTCCCTCATTGTCGCTTGGATTTCAGGGACTTTTACTAGATTTTGCATAGCTTTCATGACTTCTGTGCTCTTCTGCAGTGAGCCCGCTACTCTGAGGACAGCTGTGAAGGAGAGGCATAGAAAAGCTTGAATGATTCCTCCATCACCGAAAGCAGAGGAATTATACACTCCCTACATGGACAGAAATTTGTTTGCATCAAGGCAATTTAATTAAAAAAAGAAATGGACATCCCACTTCTTCATTCTCATCTACTTTCTTGGACAAGCTCAACTCCTACCCATATTGGAAAAACATGAGTTTCTAGGCAAAGACACTGGCCCTGTATGGTTACCTGGAGCAACCCAGGTTGCCTGCAGAGAGATTTCAAGCCACCTGCACCCCCGTTCATAAAAAGCTACCCCTGAGGAGCTGTGCTCCTCAGCAGCCAGAGGTCCTGCTGAGGGTTCCACCAGCAGAACTACAGTCCAGCTCCACATCTGACTGATGACCAAACCAGTGACCTTCTGCCCAACACCGGGTAGTGGGAACTGCTGCCAACATAAATTCTAGTGCAATAGTTTCACACCAAGCTAGAACATCAACGCTGAGGCAGATAAGCTGAAATAAGTGTGGTTTAAACTGAATTTAACAGTATTATTTCCAGAGGCTGTTCTTGTAATATGGCTTGTAAGCTCTGTCAGGTATGTGGACGTGCCAAGATCAAATTGTAATAATTAAGGGTACTTTGAAGGTCTTGTATTGTGCCATCCACCTCCCAGTTTCCTAGTGATGGAGAATTTACCTGTTTGTATATAAAATGGTCACTCCTTAATGAAGCAAAATGAAGGTACAGCAGACATTATTTTTCATTCCAATACTTCATTTCTTTAAGAACATTACAAGCGTAATGTTAACAAGCTAACAGAAGCCTCACCTGCAGCAATCTCTCAGATGAAGCAGGTTAATAGAAGCCCCAAGCTGAATTCTAGATTCCTTCCTACTGCTCAGGTAAGCATATCAGAGCATTCCCAGTAAAATGGAGATGCTGGCAGTGGTGAGGAGGAGGCTGCCTGGAGTTTTCCCTTCTCAAGGACACCTCAGGCTGCACGGATGGCCCCTGCTTCCCCTTCCTGAATGAGGTATGTGGGAAGCCACATTTCATCTACTGGAAGATCACGCTTCAGGTTCACACTGTGACTCCTGATTTATCACTCGTCTTAGACTCTACCAGTGCTGGGCTTGGGTCCTGCTGGGGTGGGGGACACTGACATCTCAGCAGCATGGTAACCCCCACCAACTGCTTCCCTGTCCTTACTGCTTTCTGCTCTGCTCTTGGTACAGGCTGAGACACTCCAAGGTACAGAAAATACCAGAGAAGTCTGTGACAAGAGATTCCTGAGGCTGGGAACAACGGGGGGACGAGGCCGGTGCTGGGGGAGCCCAAGGAGGGTTTATGGAGAGCTGTGTGTTACACCACGGGGCAACCACACCAGGGAAACCAGCCCCTGCCTCCCATCCCCACGCAGGGCCGGGCGAGTGTCCTGAACACTCGCTGGAGAAACAGTCACTTACAACGTGAGGGGAATCCTACTGACAGGAGTAAACCTCCTGCTAGAGGCCCTGTCAGAATGGGTAACAGGGACACAGGGACACCAGGCACACGTTCAAGCTGTTCAGGAATACATGCTACAAACACGGCCCGGATTGCTGGACGAGCAAGTTCTGTCTTCAGAGCACGTGATTCTCATGTCACTGCAACCCTCAGGCTCTGAGCAGAGGGGTTCCACCATCTGCTGAGCAGCTCATCAGAGGAAACAGAGAGCCAGCAAGGATTTTGGGAACAATGAGGGGTAGGAAGCCCAGGGAGCTAACTGGGAGCACCCAGACCACTCCAGAGCCCAGGGTGGGAACCCAGCCAGCCAGGGCAGTGGGGAAATGGTCTCCAGAACATCTGGCAGACTGATGGGGGTTACTGCCTGCAGGGATGCAGGAGGGAAAAGAGCATGTTTGGACTCGGGAAAAACTGATTATGGATCTTTTAAGAGGATTGCAGGAATGTGACTAAACATGAGGAACATTATGGGATCTTTAGGGGGAATGACCAAAGGTAGAGACAGGAGGAATCAAGGTTGACCAGGGAACACACAAAACTCACAGGCTTACAGGACCACTACCAGCAGCTCTGGCTGAGGAGGAGACCTGGGGCCAGTTACCAGGTAGCTGGTCAGCTCAGACTGAGCATCTCTGGACAGCTGCTGGAACAACCCACTTATTGTGCCTGTGCATGCTGGTGTTCTGGGGGTGGGCCTCAGTCCTGACCAGCTGAAGAGGAGGACGAGGACGGAGCTGCCAGCTCTGCTCAGGCTGTGAGAACGTGGCTGGTCACGGCGGGGCTGCGAGCGGGGACGGGTGTCTCCTGGGGACAGCTGCTCAGCTGGGCTGGACGTGGGGCTGTGAAACTGCACCTCTGGGCCTGCCACGGGAGGAATCCCCCGGGTCCTGGAGCCCACTGGAACTGGCTGCCTCCCAGAGGACTAGGACTGCTGCCACAGTCAAGCTCTGCCTGCATTTGACCTCGCTTCTGAAAGCAGAAACCCAGCCCTCACCTCTAGAGCTAGAAGCACTCAGAAGTTGTTCTTACCAAGCTGGTTCTTCATCCCCATGAGGACAGAGTTCATGTGAGCTTTGGATGCATAGAGCTTGCTCACGGCCCTCCGAGAGCGGATCAGTTCCTTCGCCAAGATCACACACACGTCCTTCTGACCCTTCTTGGCAGCATCCTTGATGGACCGCTTCACCTTCTCCTCCTCTCTCTGGATATCTGGAGTGCAGGAAAAACACAGCACAGTCACAAGCTGCTAAGGATTGGGAAGAGAAACCAGCCATTTGTCAGGGTGTATTTTCAATGTAAAGAATAGGAATTGCTTCTGCCTGATTTTGGATTCCCTCTGTCACTCAAAGACCTCCTTCCAGGCTGACTTGATGTTAGCTGATTAAGCCAACTAAATATTAACAGGAAAATTCTCGTTACTAATCGTCCAGCTCTGTAACCTCCTTTGCAGTCCAGAGTTGTAAAGGACTGTCCAGGAATAATACTGTGTGAAACTGAGCTGGCTAAGGTGAAGTCTTAAGGAGCAAAAAAAAGTCCAGTAAGAACAAAGCACTCTGAGGGGGCTACTTGATTTACAACTTCAGAATCACTTCCTGACAATTAAACTGGCATGATAAAAATATACATGTGTGTGTACATACACACAAACATACAGTTCAAGGCTACTGTACTAAAGTGCTGATCTAGAAGATGAGTGAATTAAAACTCATATTTATATAAGAGTTACTTAAACCCACAGATTTGTCAATTACTGCCATAAAAAAAAAAGCCTTCATGCTTGCAGCTAGACAAAATTATTCTCCCTTTTCAGGCACAACTCATTGAGCCACAACTGGATACCCAACTATGTCTATGTTTGTACTTAAGGACTTAAAAGTCTTTAGTTTCTACTGCTCATACTTTGAGCACATGTACATTAGGTGTTTTTATAAACCAGCACCCTCAAACCAGAAGCTGGCTGGCTGGTGCCAAAGCTATGGGTAATTTATCAGCAAAAAATAGTATGCTGGTGAATCATTACACAAACCAGCCTGCTCAAACCCTCCTGGTATCCAGCTTCACTCAGCTGCTCTTTATAAGAGCATGCTGGAGCAGGGACACTGAACTGAGCCTGTACTAACTGAGAACCAGATAGTTGGATTTGAAATATTAAACACTAAATAGGCTTCCTTGAATAACGCAGGTTTCTCTAGCAAATCTGATCTGACTGTTCAGACATCTGCCTTGCCAG